TGGATCTGCTTTTTTAATAAGTTTTTTAATGATAACAATTCAAAACTCAAAACTTAAATAGAAATAATCAAAATTCGAAGTAAAATTTGGTTCCTTCAATTTTAGTTCTATTATTCAAGTTTTAAACGTATGATAGCGATGATGGCGATTATCATTCATTCTATGGAGATAATAATTTATATTATTACATAGTTTCAGATATGTTAAATTTTTGTGAATTAACAAAATAATAGTAACGACAATTTACTAACAATGACAACAGCAGAAATGATGAATGTTATATTGCTATCATGCGGTCATAATAAACGATGGAAGCGACATAGTATCGCGGTATTCGATTATGTTAATGATTCGAAGGATATAAATGATGGTTAGTTATTGAATTTTTATTTTTCTTATCTTATTGATTGATTAATTATCATCATTCAAATTTTTATTCTATCAAATAAAATTTAAAACATGCTACTGATAATACTCATTTACTATAATTGAATTTTGATATTTTATGCAAAACAAAAAGATTTATCACTTATTCGAATACTTAATGATTTGATGACTGATATTGATAATATAATTTCTTCTCAAAAAAATATGTAAAAATTTAATTGAAATGATATCTTATAAACTCGTATAGAAATCAGTCAAAAAATAAATTCTAAATTTTATTATTAATCAATAAAAATCTTTTCTTCCTCTTCTTCTTCTCAGTTGTATTTCTCTTCTTTAGCATTTTTGTAGTCTTAAATTTTTATTGAGGAAGTAAAAGAATGATGAAAAAAGCATTTTGACACTTATTGAATGGAAATTTCATCAATATGCTACCAACTAAAAGAATGAAATTTAACAAATTTCATATTGCAGTTTCTTTTTTTTGCTAATAATTTGCAATTATTAATTATCATTTCTATTGATGAACGATGATAAACATGTACAGATATTGATAACAATCAATTGCTTGAATATGATAACCATGTACAGATTATTGGTAACGATCAATTGCTTTAAATTGGATTACATTTGATTTGTATAAATCCACAAGAATAAACTTATTGATTTTTTGAAAATTGTTAAAAAATTAAAAAAAAACAGAAAATGGTAATTTGATAGAGATTTTATTTTCATGCAACAAAATTAACGATTAGTTTTGAAGGAAACAAATTCATTTAATTTGTTTTTTTAAAGTCGAACAAACTTCACTGCAACAACGAAAATTCATTGATTCGTTTTTTTTCATTTTTATTTTGTTACTTTGACTATGGTTTATTTCATAATGAATTAGTAATATATGTATATAAATAGAGTATTGTTACTTTGATTATGGTTTATTCATCCATTTCATAATGAATTAATAGTTTATGTATATAAATATAATAATTTAGTATAAAATTATTTTTTTAAATAGGAAAATGACGAATTTTATTTATTATAAATTAATGATTTGAAATTTTTTTAGAGTAATTAATCTTAAAAAAAAGGAAAAAATATCGGATTTCCGTTTTATAAATCATTTTCTTAAATTCCATCCTACAAAGTGCTCTTTTCGTAATTTCAATATTAAATAAATTTAGGTTAATCATCATAATCTTTTTTTGAGGTGGAAAAAAATGATTTCTTTTTTCAAATTTCCGTAAACCAATCATTGATATGATTTTATTTTCCGGAAAAAATTATTTTTTTTCCTAAATTTACTAATTTTCCGGTAATAATTTAATTGCAGGAATTTTTCGCTTTAATATTATAAATAGCAATAATTTGTTGTAAATTAAAATCGATTTAATTAAGAATTATTTGAAAATTTTTGTAAAGAAATTTTTTATTACATTTACTCAAAGATTTTAATTTAAATTTAAATTATTCATAGAAATTAACCTTCGTTGTATAAAGTTGTATGGGATTTTTCTTGCTGCAAGCCTGTTTTTTTTTAATTGATAAATTAATTTTTTCTTCTGCATTAATAATGATCTCTCTAATCTTTCATATCGATCCGATAGATCGGATGACATTCGATGATAATTTGTATTGATTTTTGTTGCTGCAAAAAATTGTTTTTTTTTTTTAAATTGATAAATTAATTTTTTTCAATAATCATCTCTTTCATATTTCATATCGATCCGATAGATCGGATCGATATCGGATGACAATTTGCAATATTATTTTGATGCAAATACAACAGCTATTTTAATTACCATTTAATTCTTCTTTTACCATAAATTTTCTCACTGTATCGCTTTGGCATCATTCTTTTGTAATTTAAAATTTCCTAATTTTTTTAAGATGGATTTATTTGTTACATTTTAATTTTTATAGTTTGCATAAATGTAAAATCTTTCATACTTTGATATACACATAGTTTTTTCTTTTGTTTAAAAATGTATTTTAATATTTAAATTATATATCTTATATGATATATGTTTTTATATAATTAATAATTTTAGTTTCATATAATTAGCATAAATTATGTAATATATCTTTTTATATAATTAATAATTTTAGGTTCATATAATTAGCATTTGCACTTCTATTTATGACTTTTTTCAAATTTTACATTTTTTAATTTTTGAATAATTTTCATAAATTATATAGAATCAGCTAATATTGCCAGTTAAATTACAGTAAGCTAACATTGTTAACTATTTTTCATACTTTATTTTGTACAAAATTTTTTTACATAATTTAAATTTAATTCATAATTTATTATCTCTTATTACCTATGCTTAATTTATTTACAAGAAAATGCATCCAAACAAAGCTATTATATATTTATTGATTAATCGATACTTTGAAATTATTTACTTCTATACACCTGCAAAACAAATTATATACTTTTTTTTCATACTAATTATTTAATCCATTAAATTAAACAATAAATGATTATTGAAATTTCGGTATTCTTTTAAAAATTTTTCAAATTAAAATTTAGGAAAAATAATTTGAAAAAAAAAAGTTTACAGTTGAAGGGAATAATTCGTTTCATTCATTAATGTCACAATCATTATTACATCAAAAGAATGCTAATGAACGACGATTACCGGAAAATTGTCGCGATCGTTATGTTATCAGACGATTAGCTAAATCATCCGATGGGTAAACTCTCTTGCATACTTTATCATTTCAATCATTTATTATTATCAAATAATGAAATCTTCATTACTAATTATCAAAATCGAATTTTAACAAATGATTATTATTAATTATTACTAATTATCAAAAAACGAATTTATAATTAAGTTAACAAATTATCATTACTAATTATTGCTGATAATTATTAATAATTATTATAAATTATCAAAATTTTGATTTTCAATTAAATTATATTAACAAGAATTTTATCCAAGAAAACTTATAAATTGAATGTAATTTCTATTCTTTGATTTAAATTAATTAATTCAGAAGTTTAGAATTTTTCTTTTTCAAACATTTAATCTTATAAAATTATCTTTTTCAATCATATTTGAAAATCAATCAGTTCTATCGAAACTTTTCTTCTAATTATTCAATCCTCTAATTGCTTCAATCAATTTAAGAAATTGAAATAATCTTTGTAAGGAAAAAAATGAGTGAATAAATTTCTGATAAATATTTCAATTATTATTAATTATTGTTATTATTATTATTACTATTATTATTATTATTACTATTATTATTATTATTGTTATTATTATCATTGTTGTTATTATTTAATTTTAGGATAACAATAACAGATTTGGAACTATTACGGAAGACATTTATGGAACGTTTCAACAATTGCAAAGAACATTCGGAAAGAATTTACGAATTGAAAAGTGCTATTTATGCTATAAATGAAATTGAAATTTGTTCGTATTCTTTTTTCATTTCTTTTTGTTTATAATTTTTAATTTTAATATTTTATTTATTTATTTTTAATAGAATAGATAATATTGTTAGATATATAATTTATATTATTGTAATATTATTACTATTCATAAAATATTTTTATGAAATAATTTTCTTTAAAAAATCTTTTAAATTTTTTAAACAATTCAAAAGGAAATTTTTTTTGGTTTAATTCATCTTTTTATGCAATTTTATTTTGACATAAATTTCGTATATTTTACTATATGTATAATATTTTATTGCAAATATATAAAATGTATATTTTATGATAAATTTTATGCATTCTTATCAATATAAGATATACCTGTTTATGATCGATCGATTATGATCGATGATCGATTTATGATTATAATTTACAATCGATGTTTATGATCGAATATAATTTACTAAAATGATTAAATTTTAAAATTACAGGTTCAAGTAATTTTCAATGGTTAACTCAATATCAATATATTTTAAATTGGTGTTATTGCCAAATAAGATTTATTAGTAATCCAACAGAACGAGTACAATTATTTTTTGAAGTTAAGGTATTACTTTTATTTTTTTATTACTTCTCAAAATGATCTTTGTTTTCTCATAATTATTCTTTTCAATATCATTGTTTTATTTATTTGCTTTGTTTATTTTTTATTTATTTAATTTGTTTTTTTTTTAGTTAATTTGTTTATTACTTGTTTACCTGATTTTCCTTTTCATATAAATCGCTCGTTTATAACATATTAAATGACATTTGATAAAATCTGATAATTCAATTTAATCAATTAATCAATAAATTATTTGAATAAATGTGATAAAATATATTTCAGCTATTAATAAAATGTGGAAGTTTTAGGAAAAATATCGAAAGGCTGTTTGAAATTTGTAAACAAATTAAATAACATTTGATAAAATCCGATAATTCAATTTAATCGGTTAATCAATAAATTATTTTAATGATACGATCAAATGTTTGAGCTAATAATAAAGTATGTAAGTTTTAGCAAAAATATCGGAAGGCTGTTTGAAATTTGTAAACAAATCAAATTGAATTCGATGAAATTTTATAATTCAATTTAATCGAATAATCAATAAATTATTTTAATAAAACTATTTATAAAATCATATTTAAGCTATTAATACAAAGTATCGAAATTTAAGGAAAAATATCGGAATCGGTTAATCAATAAAGTATCTAAATTAAAGGAAAAATATCGGAATTGATTAATCAATATAGTATCGAAATTTAAGGAAAAATATCGGAAGATGTTTGAAATGTTAAGTGATGTGGATGATGTTAATAAATTAACATCATATCTTCATTGGTCACAATTATGTTATCAATATGCAGAACTTGTTGATCGTGAATCGTTATCATGGTGTATTGAAGCGATCATCAATGCTAAAAATGCATTATTTAGTAATTTTATTGTTTCTTTAAAATTTTGTATATTTTTCAAAAAATTTTCCAACGATTATTTCAATTAATTTTGTAAAATTTTAAATCTAAAAGAAAAATAAAACAAAAGAAAATTTAATAAAAATATGAAAAAAAATTTTTTCTACTAATTCAATTGTTTTAGTAACATCGTCAGGAAAATCAACGTTATCCGGAAAAACGGAAACTAACGAATCATATCGATCGAAATCCACAAATAGTATAAATGGTAATGAACAATTGGAAAATATAGGAACGGTGAATCAACGGCGTGTTAAAATAGCAACTGTTGGATTAATTCAAAGTAATGTATTAAAAGCTGAAAATATATATATGCGTGCTCATTAGAAAGGTGATTAAATAATAATTTTATTAATACGTGTTAAACGTTTCAATTAAATGTATTAATTAATTAATAAACGTGACTTTTTACGTGTTCATAACGTATCATAACTTTCATGATTTCTTCACATATCCATAATTGCTATCATATCCCCAAAAAATTCTTTGATTAAATGCCATACAAAGTTATTTTCATAATAATATATCAGGCGCTTTTTTTTTGTTTGTTAGCTAATTAATGAATGCTATCAATAAAGCTGTCAATATTTTTCCGTTTTTTTTTATCAGATAAAAGTTTTGTTTTTAAAGAGAAATTTTTCGTTTTTAAAAAAAATTAAAAAACCACCACCGCCTCCTTCTCCTCCTACTTCTCCTTTGTTTTTATATTTCTTAAAAAGTAGCAAACAGATGGCGTAAATATGAACAGATATTTTAATTTAAAAATAAAGAAATACAAAAGAAGACAAATAAATGAATTGGGTAAATTTATTTGGTTTAAATTGCTGGCGCAAAATGTTCCCATTTATTATTTGATAAATTAATTATTTGTTGAAGGTAGGATAAATTGAATTTGATAATCGATTAATTTTAATTCTGGTAAAAGCAAAAAAAATGATTTAATAATGAAATGTAAAATTGAATAATGGAAAACTTTAGTAACTAAAATGCTGTTCTGTTATAAGGTTAATTACTATTATGAAATTACTTTTAATTACTACTACAAAATTATTATTAATTAGTATTATAAAATCAATTATTATTAACTATTATTATAAAATTAATCAATATTAATTACTAATATTAAATTAATTACTGTTACAAAATTGATTACTATTATAAAATCAATTATTATAAATTACGATTATGAAATTAATTATTATTACTGATAACAATCTTATAACAGTAATTAACAATAATTAATTTTGTAATGGAATAGTATTTTAATTAATAAAGTTACCCATTATTTAATTTTACATTCTATTATTAAATTAATTTTTTTGCTTTTGTTGAAATTATTATTAATTACTATTACAAATAATAAAATTTAATTATTTATAGGCAAAATTTTTAAATAAGAAAAATATTAAAAAGATTTTTTCCTTTTTATTAATTATATAATTTAATTACGATATTCTTAAATTAAATAATTAAAATCAAAATTAAATATTAATTTTTTTTTTGTATAATAATAAATAAATACATAAGAAATAAATCATTTCAAAATTCCACTTATATTCTTATTCGATGAAATTCTTCAAATGATATATATATATATTGAAATAGGAACAGCTGTTATGAAATTATTGAAATGAAATTAGTATATACGTATATATCTATAAGTGTGTGTGTGTGTGTGTGTGTTTGTGTGTGTACCACTGTGTGCACATTCACTTAGGATATATAATAGTATTCAAATGCGATATAATCATTTTACCGCACATTCCATTTGTGCTACTCTTTCTTCACACTTATTTTTGAACTGTTAAATTAAATTTCATTTAAAGGATTACATCAATTACTATTTCGGATGTTGGCTAACTTATAATTCTAATCAGAATTATTATAACTCAAAATAAATTTAAATATAATTTATGATTTTTGTTTTCTTTTCTAAAAATAATCAAAATAACAATTTAATGTAATTTTGTATAATTTATTTTTGTTTAAAATATTTAGCACAACAAAAAAAATTTATTAATTATCAAAATTTTGTTTAGTTATCAAAAAACAAATTAATAGATTTTATTATAATTATTAGTTGTTTTTTTATCTTTTTCAATTCTATACCTGTCAGTAAATATGTTTACATAAATGTGTAAAGTGATTATTAATTGAATAATTATTAATTTCAAATTATTCATTTCATATAATTTTGCAGTATAAAAAAAAGTGTTAACTAAATCTTTAATTTAATATTCAATTTTTTCATTTACTTCTTTAAGTTTCTATTTATGCTTCAGCTAATTGAAGTTATTTTGCAAAATTTAACATTGAATGTCTTCTATATATCATTTATCTTTGATAATAATTATTATCATTATAATAATTATTATTATTACTAAAGAAGAATGATATGATAATTATTACAGTAATTATTATTAAATAACAGTAATCAGTAATGATAACAATTATTAATAATTATTATTAATAGCAAAAATTAATAATGATAATAATTATTAACATTATTAATAATTATTATAATAATAATTACATCATTCTTCTTTAACAGTGATAGTAATTAATTATTATTGTGAATAATAACAATAATAATAACCACACTTATTAAACAGACAATCGTTGCAATATTAATTATTGGATGAATCACTTATAAAATGTTGATGAATCAATTTGTAATTTTTGTTAGAACAAAACGAGAATGATAGTCAATTAAAAACAATGAA